CGACCGCGGACGCTAGCGAATCGCGCGAATCGCTAGTAGCGAATCGCGCGATTCGCAAAGTCTGACATCGGCCTTACTTGGATACTGGATGCTCGTTGTCAGCCGATGATCCTCAGCGGCGAGCACACGCTTCCCTCCATTTTTGACGATCTTGAGCGGTTTGGGCCCAGTGTTGGCCCGCATCTTCTTGAAGTTTCTTCAGGGAGTCTCTCCATCGTGTTGCAGGACGGCCAAGTGTGCGCTTCACGTCTCGTGGATACCAGAACGTAACGCGTGTGGTCCACCGATCATCCATGCGTCTGACCACATGTCCGGCTCCTCGTTTCTTTGGTCCCACGTATAACTGCGGTGTCGCGGTCACTTCGTCATTTCACCTCGCCACCTTGAAAACTAAAGAGGTGAAATGTCTGCGAAAGCTGCTTTGAATTAAAAGTGCATTTTAAAGGCAGTGTTTGCGGATGATCGGGTGCGATACTAACTTGGGGACCTTACTGCTGGAGGGGTGTTGGGAGCAGCGTCAAATGTGCGTTACGCAGTTTTCAACAAGGTGTGATCGCATTTGTTTTCTTGGAGGGAAGGGTCTTATTTTGGGTTGATGAAGCTCAAAACATGAAAAGGGAGTCGTATTTTTTTGGAAGTTGAAAGGGTCGTGGCGGCAGCAGAGGGCCGCTTTGAAGGGTTCTGTCGATTTCGTAATAGAACTTCTTACATCGGAAGCAAGCAGAAGAATTAGAAAAAAGTAGATTTTCTTTTCTTTTGGACATTTTTACTTTACCTCACTTACAATCCATACCCTCCGGCCACGATCGTTGCGGATAGAAAAAAGGGGCTCGCAGTTTGGCTCGGTGATGCTTGTCTCAGAAGGAAATGTATATAGAAACGGCAAACAGAACGGTGGGGTTTTTGGTAGGGGTGCGGAAGTGGGCGTACTGGCATGAGACCCTCAAAGTAATGGTGGGTGAGGGGCGGAGGGGTCGAACCTGCTTTCTTAAAGTGGGAGAGCGAACTTTCGAATGTGCGTAACGCACATTCGACCGTCTGGCTGTAGACCAGTATCTACCTCCATCGCGATCCTCCTCTCACTAACTAGTGAAGTCCTCCGAATTCCAGCCATCGCATTGAATGACTCTTTACTTCCTACCGTAGAACTGTCGAAAGTAGTGTGATCCATTGATTCCATGTGAATGGAGCAGTAATGAGTGTTTACATTTCATCACGACCTATGGTAATGTGGTGGAAAGAAAATCCTGCAACCAGATACTAGCCATCTTTTGCCCAAATTTATTGTTTTTAATTTATCATTTTTGTTTCACAACCCTGAGACGCGGTCTTTATGCTACGCAATACCATGAAGTGTCCACCACTTGTCTTCAACGCTCAAAAAATTTCTTGATGCTCCTTTGCCAAAACCCAGCGGAGTGTGGGTCGAGAAAGGAGGCGACCTCACTTTCGAGTTGGAGTTGATCGTCTAATTATTTCGTCATCAAGATGATGATTTAAGGTCAGGATAGGTGGCAATCGTTTATAGCTCGACCAGGGTAATACGCTAAGAGAGGTAAAAATTCTTGCCGCAGGTCCAGAATTTCTTACCGGGCCCATTTAGAATCATGGTGATTCGCAATGTCATGAAAGAATTAAATATTGTCGCGGTACGAGGGCTCAAGACGAGCTGCCCCGACCAGCTTTTGGAGTTCCGCAGCCTAGACCTCTACCTACACAATGGTGCCCATAACGAAGAATTTGTAAATGAGCTTCCGTAGGAGCCCTTCCTGTAATGGAGTGTGTAGGACGCTGCTGGCTTCTTATGAAAATATCAAAAGATCGGAAGCGCTGGTAAAGGTGAAACACGCTGTAGCGGTGCACGACATGCCTTATTGAAGCGATTGCAGATAGTGTTGGTCTTTGACACGAATCCACAGTTATGTAGACATTTGTACTAGACAGTGACTCGGAGTGTGGATTTACCAGTGGTCTGGGTTTTTTGAATTTTCTTGGTAACTATTGACTGCAGCACTTATATCCACCTCGTGGATTAAAGCCACGAGAATGTTCTACCATTTGTTAGTCATAAATGTTACCTATTGATTTTTCAAAAAGAAAGAAAAATTTAGAAAGAGTGTTGCAGAACTTTCTTTCCAACCTAATATTTAGCTCAAACCTCCATACACTGTTATGGAAGATTCCATAATATTTTCGAAATGTTTTTGTTTGTTTGTTTTTTTTACACAACCCAGCATTCTTGTAAAACACTCCGTGATATGTTTGAGAACATCTTTTATTGCAACAAGTAGTCACAATGAAGTTTTTTGGAAAGAAGTTGAATTTAGAAATAGGGGGGGGGCGGACAGACATCTTCATTGAAGGGCGCTGCTCGGTAGTGCAGACTGTAGAAGTGGAGACACCACGACGGAAAAGACTATTGATTTGATTCTTTGTTGAACTTTCATCACCTACATCAAATTAATTAAAGCAGATTTTGATCGAAGAAAAGGCAGCTCTAACGAAATAAATAAGAGGTGGTTACTGGTAGGAATGAAGAAAAAGACTTGGGAAACGGCCCAGTGCTCGAGAGATAGGCCCGTTGACTCCCGCATTGATGCAACTCTCATTGGTGCTGCTTTCTTTAGCGCTAACGCTCTCTCTGCTAAACAACTAGAGTGTCAGAGAGCGAGAGAATATGAATCGCTCCCAGCCGACGAATAGGCTGCGAGGAGGGTCATATTCCTCTGGATCTTCCAAATGCTCTATTTCTCGGCGTGCCTCGCATGTCAGGCATCGCAAATTTGACATAGTCAAGCGCAAGAAGACCGTAAGCGACTCAAGCTGAATTGCAGGGGAACCTGCAGATTCAGCCTTTGCATTCATCTTACAGCTTACGCTTACCAGGAAGGTCTTTCAGGGCGTGACAAGCTTTTTGAAAACGGTCTTTTGCATGATATAGGGGCAGATGCGGGAACCACAGAACCATGTTCAATTTTTCCTGAACGGCCCTCTGAATACCAGAAAAGGAGGTCCCTAGTTCGATTCCTCGTGGTGAATGAAAGTTTTGCATTTCCGAGTTGACGTTTCAAAATTCGCGCAAAATGGAGTGAGCATGAATAATTTAGTACCATATTGCATGACTAGGGGACCATCAGTAACTCCTACAAAAAGACTTTGACTTAAAAATTGGTGTGAGAGGCGTGACATCAAGCAGCCCCACTGTGGTGTCACACCTTTTTCACCAGTTTTTCAATCAAAGTCTATTTGTAAGGGTTACTGACGGTCCTAATCATGAATATGGTACTAATTATTCATGCTAACTCCATTTTGCGCGAATTTTGGAACGTCAACTCGAAATGCAAAAATTTGTCACCACGAGGAATCGAACTAGGGACCCCTTTTCTGGTATTCAGAGGGCCGTTCAGGAAAAATTAAACATGGTTCTGTGGTCCCCGCATCTGCCCCTATATCATGCAAAAGACCGTTTTCAAAAAGCTCGTCACGCCCTGAAAGACCTTCCTGGTTAGTGTATTGGTCAGGAGAGCGCGAACTGCAGAAAGAGGCATATGCAGGACGCTTACAATAATGGATCATTTCAACAACTCATTGGCCTACAAATTAAGGTTTGCAGTATCGGCCTTAGTGCCCCGATAAAACAAAAAAGTGATAAGAAGTGCTCAATTCCCCATGATGACGGAAATTTGGCATTTTGAAGGGCAGCGATTAAGATTTTTCTTTTGGGAAGGGCTCAATGGGGGGGGGAAAAATGGAGGGGGGAGGGGGGGGAGGGGGGGAAGTAGGAAAAGAGGGGAGGGGAAAGGAAGGGGGGGGATACGTACCCGTTGGATCAATACAATACAACCAGTGACCAAAAAAGCATATAAAAAACGCCCCCAACGGAAACTCTGGTGTACACCTATTTCAGGTCTCGCAGTTGGTGCGCCTAACTGGCAGCACGTCTGTCAAATTACCTAATTAAGAGGCCGATTCGCTTAAGGGGCGAGTGCTTTCAAAGACCTGCCTCAGCCCAAAAGCAGCGCTCTCTTTTGTCAATGAAGTTTTAGCGCCAACTTCGCCTTCTTGGTAGCCAAGTAACTGCTTCCTGTGGTGCATATCCTTCCCGATGCACTCTCTCTTTATCGTGATCGCTTCCTTCAAGGAACTCCCAGTTCTGCTCCGAACCCCGCCACCGCCGACAGTAGATGTCGAATTTGTTACTAGAAACATCCACCCAGTACTCCCTTGCGGTTAGATTTTAAATGGAAAGTGGTGAAAACCACCTACTATGAGCAATTCTTTGATCCTTTTTAAGCAAGGACTGTTGGAAATAACTTTAAACCTGCAGCCCAAGCGAGAACCTCTACAGCATGCTGAAAACCGTTCTGAAAAGCGCTCCTAAACCATGAAAGACCTCACATGTTAACATGCATGTACTCAACTAATGCTACTCTGGCAACCAGAAATCCGTGAAATTACCTACCTTCATATGCCGCGTCACATTTTTTTGATCCAGCTCAGTAATTGAGACCACGATCAACAGCGCACCTCTCACGCGCGACTCGTCAAGGGCGACACGCTATCGTATCCCAACTTTCAGAACTGACCTAGTGGCCTGTTCCCTTATCCGACACGTACCTTCCTCTTGTCGCCCATCGCCTAAGCTCCAAGTTTTACTTTATTCGACTGATCCCAGCTCAACACCAATAGGCAATCGAATGTGTTTTTTGCGTACATAGCGAATGCCCGGAATCAACAAAAAAGTTAACTCTCTATCACTATCAACTCCCACCACCTCGCAGTTGCTATTTAAGCACCGACGTGATCAGGTTCCACTTCAACACTTCGTATCGCCTTTCATCACGGGTCAGTTTGTTCACATACACATCGGTCAAAAGTCTTTCCTCGTTGCTGTCTAATCGCAAGCCTTCTTCTCCTATCTACAAATAGTGTTGATCATTAAGGTGGCATTTTTGCACAGTATGGAAAGGAGTGAAATTCAGACTCAAATGTTCAGTAGAATGGGAGAAGATGATGCATCAAAATGTAACGCTATAAGAAAGGGTGGTAACAATGACGGCGAAGATTCCAAAGTAGGCAAAGAACCCGAGAGGTAAGCAAATGGTGGGATCTATCGCAATATACGGGGGCATCCTCCACTTCTAAGCCTAGGAGGAAGCAAGAGCTCCTGGGAAAATGAGTCTCTCTTGTCCCCACGATTAATAAAGAAATCTTTTCTACACGTCATGGCCCGTTTCGAAACGCACGCCAACTCGCAATCCCCGTAATATTGCGATAGCATCAAATGGCGTTCTGTAGCGTGAAAAGTGACAATGAAATAAACATCATCTTTTCCAGAAGAGTGATTGGCTTGGTCCAAAAGTGAAGAAGGTCAGGTTGAATTTTTCACGAGATCCTGGACAGCCGTCGGTTGACATTCTTGCAGAGTTGTCAGTGTTATAGGGTGAGAAGGGCACCACAGAGAGCGACAAAATCGCCCGTGACGCTCCGTCGCGTAAGACTCCTTCACGGATGAGCTCGTCACAAGCACCAGTACAAAAGGAGAAACCTTTGACGTCGAAATTAGGAACAATCGAAGTAAGAAGGCAATTTTGATTGTTGAGTAGTGAATTCTGAACTTGAACTTAATTGTTTGAAGCATGATCCTAGGACACATTTGGTGTCGCCTTGTACGAATGCCGAATGTATTGGTCTTAAACAGTGTCGGGAGTCCCCATAAAGAAAAAAGGAAAGAATCCGTCAAAAACGCTTAGGTTAAGGGCTCACTCACCTTCCTAATCGGCTGTGCTAAGGGAATGAGAGACTAAGCGCGGAGAGGAGAGTATGGGGCGAGAGAGCGCTACAGATGAGAGATCGCCAGACAACAGCCTGATAAGAAGAAAAAGTCTGCAGCTTGGGCAGCTTACTTTGCAAGGCCCAAGCGCTCTTATCGGTTGGTTTTCTGCACGAACGCCACATTTGTGGAAACTTTTGTTCCCTTATAGGGACGCTGTACTACAGGCCGAAGGGAAGCATTTCCACGACCTCCTGCCTGGGTGTGCCTTTAAGCTTAAGGGTAAATGTTGTGGAGATCTTCCGCATAGTACGGAAGTAACCATCAAGTGTCACATAAAATACACTCAGCAGAAGCTTAAGCACCACCTTCACAGTAACCCGACCGAGAACTGGTCTAAAGTGTCAAAGACGTAAAGCTGATTCGAAGTGAATTAGCACGACCATCGAATGAACGATTCCAAATGCTGATAAAGCTTTATCAGAGAGGTGATAGGGTTCAGAATATCAATTAATTCATTCCTCGTAGTATGTCAGTAAACATATATCAGCGGCTATATATCAACACTCATCGTAGCACAAATAAGCATCTATATATACACCCCATTGTCCCGGCAACCACCGGGACCTCCTTACCTGCGTAAGCTTTACTCCTTCCAATGTGCTCCCATCCACTGGTGACATGGACACCTCGTGGAGGTGGCACGCATGCACAAAAAAGTGTCTTATATAGTAGAAGGCATTACCGTAATCGTGACATGACCTTAGAATGATATTAATTGGACCTCAGGTCTTTTGGCGGTTAGCTCCCCTCGCCCTTCTCCATCTTATCCTATTCCCTCTACTGCTCTCCAGCTGCTATTGCAGCATCATGTGGAATGAATGAGACCATGCTCAGTAGGTGTTTATATAGCCGTTGGGGTGTTATCACATTGATAGCACTGCAAAACATTGATTGCTAAAGTCATAGTTACTCGATTTTGTTAACGCACACGAGCCAGCACCCCCGCGCCGTCTGTTATTTCAACCAAATTCCCTACCACTCACCATCACCATTTGGCTAACGGACATCACATCAGCCATACACGCCATATAACAGACTATAGCAACCAACATCACAAAGTAGCGCTTTATACAAATACCAAATTATTCCCCTCTAATCCGCCGACCTTCCTTTCCTGCGCAAGCTTTCTACTCTTCCCAAGCTTTCTACCCTCCGCTATGGTCCCTTCCTCCTGTGACACCAACACCTCTGGAAGTGACGCGTATGCAACACAATGGTGTTTCATACAGTAGAAGGGACACAATCATGATATGACGGTAGATTTTTCGCTTCCCTTCCTCATCCTCCCTTCCTCTCTCCACTGCCCTCCAGCTGCCACTGCAGCACCATGTGGAATGAACGGAAGTGTGCTAAGCAGGTGTTTATATAGCCCTAAGAGTGTTATCACAACTATCCTGCTACAAAACATTGATATCTCAAATCCTGTAAGCTACCCGATTTGTTAGCGGTTTGTTTATCCCATGAGCTTCCTTCTCACTCACTTCATTTTGCGGACGGACACACATACATACATACACACACACACACACACACATACAGATACACAAACCGACACACAAAGTTAGCGCTTTATATAATAATAGATAAGGATATCCTTTGTAAAGGTGGGCA